ACTGCCCTTTCTAGTTCATTCATCCTTATTGACATCTGCTCGTTTTGTTCTCCTAAACTGTCCACTATGTTGTTTAAGGCTTCCTCTAGTGCTGCCCCATTTTCCACGAGTGGCGTCACTAGTGGTGGTGTAACCCTGTCGTTCCAAAGTCCCCTTGCTCCTCTTCATCCTCTTCCTCCTGGGATTCACCGTCGTTTCCTGCTCCTCCTCCCATGCTGAATGGAAAGATGTTTCCGAAGGTGTTCTTCATTCTTTTTGAGAATGATGATGACGTTGTTTGTTTCCCAGTTCCGCCTGCCATCATAGTGTTGTCTGTCGGAGATCTTCTAGTTGCCGCTACTTCAGTTGAGATGTCGGACAGTTCCGACATCTCCTCTCGATCCAATGTCCCGGTGGAAGTGGCAAAATCATGGCCTTGTTCTACCGGAGTAGATTCACTCGCCAGCCTTCTGCCTCTCCCTTCCAGTCCATTTACTTCCTGGTTGTCGTTCATGGTATGGTCCGTATTGACCTCCACTTCTAACAGTTTTTTTCGCTCTTCTGAGGTCTTCTGACTTCTCGTTTCAACCATTCTGCCTGAAACCGTCTCCCCTTTATCGGACCGGGATCGCTTGATCCAATCCACAAAAGGATCGGTCATCGTTTTTCTTTGCTTTTCAGGAATGAATTTCCTAGAGCTATTACCTCGTTTTGGTATCCTTGACTTGTCTAGACTCATTCTCTATTTGTCACTTTTTAATGCCTATGCTTAACCCGATTGCTAGAGACCTTATAGTTTTATTAACAATAATAATGACACAACACAATAATTTTCACAAGATTCTATTAAATAGTGACCACGAATCCCTGTATGTTATCAGAGTACAGTTTGTATAAAAATTATTCACACTAACCCATTATCGGTGGTAATATTTGAAAACTAGCACAATATGATGTTATCAGTCAATTTAAAAGATAGTGTACTCACTACCCAATCAAGCACAGTTTATGTTGATTTAAAATCAAAAAACAAAATTAATATATTTAATGTCAGGCTATGAATACCTCTATGAAAAAAAACGTATTTTAGTCGGTCGCAGTACAATAGTCGAACTTGTCTTTTAAAGAAAAAGCTTTCCCTGCTCGGTGCTGCACCAAACAGACAAAACTTTGAAGGCAGTAATTTTCTCAAGTGGGCGGCTATTGCACCCACCGAGTACTGTGTTACCTATCTGCCTTTGGACTGCCCGAGCTAGACCTACTAAAATCCTCAGGGCAGTCACTTTTCCCAAAAACGTATTATGTTACAATCCACACCAATGAATCACGCACTTTTTAATTTGGACTTAGTGTCGCGAATATCCGAGTTCGGACCTGTTTTGTTTTGGTCTGGTTCTTATTGAAAGGCAAGTTACCAGTGCAGTCACTGATACCTAGCCTATGTGCTACTTACCTAATACCTCTCACTTTTTATTCTTTCTTTCGTCTACCTAAGTCCTTTAATAAAATAATACCCCTCCGGGTTGGCACAAATAGGACCCTTCCGGACTGGCAGAATCTAGACCCCTCCGGATTGGGACCCCTCTGAGTTAGTTAATATAAGACCCCTTCGGATTTGGACCCCTCCGAATTAGCAACTATAAGACCCCTCTGGATTCGGAACCCTCCTAACTTGAAAAAAATTTTGACCCCTCCGGATTGGGAACCCTCCGGTTTTGTAAAAGTAGCTTTTCGGAGATTTCTTACTTTCAACCTATACCCCTCTGGATACGTTTTCCGATGCAATTTTGCTCTTTCAATTAACTAGGAAGGGTATGCACTACTTTCCTAGACCCTTCCGGATTGAAATTAAGCCTCTTATTTGACAATTCACACTAACGGTGAAGGGTCTTATCGCTCGCCTAACTTCGGCTCGCTTAAGCTTTTGCTGTGCCTTTAGCCTTCCCTTTTCGTCTAGAACAGCCTAAAGTTACTTTATTCAACCGCTATTACCTTTTGGTAGGGGTATAAGGGCTTTTCTAAAAAATTTTTGTAAAACGTGAAGGGTGTACCCTTCCAAATTGAGGAATTTGCTATAAACAATCTCAAAAAACTTTCACGCTTACTTTTCCGAAAAACTTTTGTCCCTATCAGTAAGCTCAGCTAATTTCTGATCTATTGGTATCAAGATGAACTCGATATGCCCAGTAGTTCCAAAGTTATTAACCAAAACGTCTTTTCTCTAAACTCAAAAATTTTTCTCTCTTATAGGTTCCGCCTAACTTTTTCCGCAAATCAGGTCCTTTCGACCTAAAAATTATTGATCCGAGCTCAGAAGGCCTATAATTTTCTATTTCAATGCAAAAGACCCGATCTAAAACGCTTTTGCTGAAAAAATTTGCGAAAAACTATGCTACCTGTACCCCTCCGGATTGATGAATCCACCAAATCAAACACGTTAAGTTCGATTTCTCTGCAACCCGGAAGGCTTTCGGGTAGCGGGTTTTAAAACTTGTAGATTCACTAGTGGACGTTGTCCGAACAACTATTTTTACTGTTGTAACTCAAAAATTTCAAAATTTTTTTTTAATTTATAGTGTTTCCTTTTCTCAAAAATCACCAAATTTCGGTTCTCGGTACCAAAATAGTTCCAACCACTTTCGAACTAAACTTAACCGGTTCTCTCTATTATGGTAGTGCAGTTACGATGTAACACACTAACTTAGCGCTTTTTTTCGTTTCAAAAAAATATCGATATTTCAAAAATCGCGACTTGTGGGGGAATCAAAATATCGCTATTTTGACCCTAAAAACCGGTCTGTTTTCGTTGTTTTTCACTGAAAAACGATATAAGACCATTAATATAGGCTATGTAATTAATAATAGTAGTAATACTATACCCCTCCGGGTTTGTTTAATATCCGAATTAAGGTGCTTAACACGGATATTCGCAGTTCGGTGAAGGGTCACTACAGTGCAGCACTGTCGAGCCCCCCACAGATTACTATCTTAATTTTTTGTACCAAAAGGGACACAAAACTTGCTAACGATACCCAACAGTCGATTGTTGTTGTCGTTGAGCCCCTTTTTGTTGCTCCTTGTACTGCTTGCCGGCTTAGTCTTCTCCCAAGACCCTTCCGAATTGAGCGCAAATCAGCTGACCCTTCCGGATTGAGCGCAATTTATCATTAACGTGCTTAAATGCTCAAATAACCCTACAGTACAAGCCTCACAAACGGGCTCCAAAACTGATCGTAACGATCTTGACTGATATAAATGCCTGTAACAACAATATATCTATCAACAACAAACGGGGGGGTCGGATCACATCTTGTCTGGGGGGATGATTTCTACTGATTTTTTTTTACTTTTTTACTGTTTTTGGTTTTTCGTATATTTTTTTATGTTTTTTGTTTTTCTCGGGTACTATACTACTTTTTGTTTGGTTTTATATATATCTTTAAGTGTTCTTGGTCACAAACCATTCAGGAGATGACGGGACCGCGAATCACCCCACCCTTCCTGGTTCGTGAATTTTCGGTCTTAACTAAGTTAAAAAGCTATTCACGGTAATCCGGAAGAGTTCCGCGTTCCGAACTACCCTTCCGCCCCGGCGGTTTAGGCCTATTAAGGGCGTTAATGTGAGCATCCGCTCGGCGCGGAGTGCTCGTTAACGGTTCCGCCGGTCATGATGTTAAAAAGAATAACACCCAGGAGCGCCATAAAAACATCTATGTAACATTCGCCCGGAAGATACATATCGACGGAAGACAAAACTAAGTCCTAAGACGACTGGCTAACGTCTAAACAGAGCTTTGCATGCTTTTCACCGTCTCTACCAAGCCAGTACTTTTCGGTGGTCTTTCTAACATCGGGTCGACAAAAACGTTACTGCTTTCGGCTTCGGTCAAAACACTCAAATTAACTAGATTACATGCAGAAATAGTGAGCTCATGGCTGGGTCTCAGTATCCCCAGACCACGAGGTCACTCCTAAAAACAGGGCTACTACTCATTGTATTACTATTGTTTTTGTTCAGTAGATAAAAATCATCATCTCCATCGAAGATGGATCAACCCTTTCCCCCAACTCCTAGCTTCTCATCCTTATCAAAATGAATCTAGATGTTAATTAAATTCAAGTCAGGACATGACAGGAAGCTGAAAGTTTATGTAACAGGATAAAAGTTTCAGTTGCTTTACCCCTCCGGATTGACAAATCCGCTGGATCAAGCTTGTTAATCCTGATTTCTTCTTAATCCGGAAGGCCGTCTTTCACCCTTCACCGTTGTTCGCAACGGCCTTGCAACTATTGTAGCGGCACAATAGTTGCAACTCGGAGTGTTCTCTGTTACTCTGTAACTCGTTGTCGTTTTCCAATCTCGATTTCGTAGTTGTTGTTAGCGCAGCTAATGTTGTTCTGTTTTTCTTTCTTGTTTTAGCCAAAATGGCCGTTTCTGACGTTTCTCAGAAATATGACGTCATAATTCGAATTTTTGAAATTTTAAAATACCAGAATATTCCAGTCCTCACGGTTTGGCCAATCGTTCCAATAACGCTCTTAATTCTTAATAATCACCAATCCGGAAGGCTCGCTGCTAAAAATTCGAATTCTGCAGAGATTGCATTTTTCACATTCTGGTCGAATGTCACACACATTCTGGTCGATTGTCACACGAAGAATAAAACAATTTAAAAAGAAAAAAGTGACAAATCTCTCCTTAATTATTACGTAATTTATTATGGTATTTTAGTTGTATATTTTTGATTGGTCAGAATTTTTAGAGTTTTTATAGACATTGTTGTCACACACGGGATCTTTGATCTTTTTGTAAATATTGTTGAAAAAGTTATTCCTCATGATGCACAAAATGTGCGAAACTGTTTGAGTTAAAATCTTCAAATTATAATAAGAACAATATTAGTTATCCGTTTCCTATGTTTGCCTTATGAAATAAAGGCTCTCTACTTGTTGACGTGATCCGAACAACAAAAAGGCAGCACTTTTGGCGAAACGTTTTATCTGAAGCTACATGAATATTTGAAACGAGTGCATGCCTGTGTCATTTTCTAGGTTAGGATGTCCGGACGGTTCAAGGTGGAGAAAAACACTCCGATTGTGAAACTCGATTGTATCAGTGCGTTTGAAGGGTTGAATGAATCTGAAAAAAAGTATTTGTACTGGTTGTCTAAAGCCTCGAATGATGGTGCCCTGATTTGTGCTTTGCAAACGTCAGTTGAAAGCCCAGAAATGGTAGTGTTACTGTTCAAGATATTGAAAGATGAGAAGTTTGCCGTATCTCTGAAAACGAGATCAATGACAGACCCGGATATCAATGCTTTCTTGATATACTGCGCTGCCGTTCTGTCAAATATCGGCAACTACAAATCGTTTGGGGATACTAAAATTGTTCCTGATATTAGTAAAGAATCATTTGAAAAAATTATTCAATCTAGTGATTCCTATGGCGAAGTAGAATCACTTTGGGTTGTTATACGTGATCAAATTTACGAGCTGACGGAATCAAATTCACATCTTTGTTATGGAAACTCAACGTACCTTTCACACAACTGCACACAGCAAGACGCTGAAACAGTTCAGAAATGTCTTGACGAGAACGATATATCTGCTTATAATACCAGGCTTCGTAAAGATCGTGCAAATAATTTCGTAGTAATGGTTGCATCGATAGAAAATGGATCAGCAGAAACAGTCTCAGTTTCAAATGAAGTCTCTATTGTCACTGAAAAAGGTGATTTTTCTCCTCTACTTCATCGTGTCAATAAAAGCTTAGAAAAAGCTAAAATCTATACTAAGAAAGAAGTTGAACAGAAAATGCTGGAAAACTATATTTTGAGCTTCCAAACGGGGTCAGTTGAAGATCATAAAACTGGTTCCAGGTTTTGGGTGCAAAACAAAGGCCCTGTAGTTGAATACTACATCGGCTTCATTGAAAACTATCGCGATCCATTCGGGAGTCGAGCCGAATTTGAAGGGTTTGTTGCTGTCGTTAATAAAGAAAGAAGCAAGAAGTTTGCTGCTTTAGTAGAAATGGCACCGACGCTGATTGAAAAACTTCCCTGGACCAAAGAGTTTGAAAAGGACAAGTTCCTGGAACCTGACTTTACATCCTTAGATATCATAACATTTGGAAGCAGTGACGTTCCTTCGGGAATAAATATTCCGAACTATGACGATATCCGGGAAAGAGATGGCTTTAAAAACCTTGATCTGGGCAATGTTCAAAATGCAACTCCAAAAAACGCAAGAATACCGTTCCTGAATGAAGAAAACGTCAAGTTCCTGAAACAGTGGAAGGAAAAAGCGTGGGAATTGCAAACTGCGCTTCATGAACTTTTGGGTCATGGAAGTGGTTTGCTTTTCAACAGTGAAAACACGCCAGTTGCTCTGAATCCCATAACTGGCGAAGCTGTTAAATCTTTTTACGAGCGCGGAGAAACGTACGATAGCAAGTTTGCGTCAATCAGTTCGGCTTACGAAGAGTGTCGAGCTGAATGTGTTGGTTTAGTGCTTTGTACAGAAATCGATGTTCTGACATTGTTCAGTTATGTAGATTTGAATGCCCAAAATGACGTTGTTGTCATGAATTACCTACAGTTCGCGTATGATGGTCTGCGATCGCTCGAGTTTTACGATCCAGCCAAAAAGTCGTGGGGCCAAGCTCATATGCAGGCTGCATTTGTGATCATGCAGTTGTTTATAGAAGCTGACGATACGGCTGTCACTTTCGAACAATTCAAGGACGATAACGGTGAAGTAAACAATGTCCATGTTGCCTTTAATCCTGCCAAAATTTTCGTCTGCCAAAATGCTGTACGCAAGTTTTTGCTCAGGTTACAAACTTACAAATCAACAGGGGATATAGAAGAAGCGAGTAGAATGTTCAACTATTATTCGACTCCCTCCGAGTTTCTTCTGTCTCTAAGAGAGGCAGTGTTGGCTAATAAAGCACCCAGAAAGATGCTTATTCTTCCAAATTTAGCGATTGATACAAATGGCGATGTTCAGCTCTTGTATGATTACGAAGAAACGCCCGAAGGTTTGATCAAGTCTTTCGTGGACCGTTATAAGGACGATCCAGAAATTATGGATGATTTGCTGGCTCTCGGAGAGAAGAACAAGCTCATGGCATCTAGTTTTATTAGTTAGTTTTACCACCGATGATCTGTGTGTACATGTAAAAATTGTAGATTTGTTGTCGTGTATTTGTCATCTTTGATCTCTATCAGATAATAAAAAAATCATTCTTGCTTGTCTGAACAGTTTTTTTTGGTGAACTGTTTTTCGGTGTCGAGAAAAATTTGCCTGATTATTTCCATTTTCATATTTCAGCTTGAGATAGGAAATATATTGTTTTTCGAATAAATCGTCTACTTTGAATTTTATTTCGAAAGTTTTTAAAGCTATAAATAGGTTAATATTGTCCCATTTTGAGCTAATTTCAACAGTACGAACTAAGAAAATCACCCCGAGTTTGGATGAAATATGAAAAAAAAAAAATAAATTTTTTTGTTGAATAACAGAGTGTTGTTGTTAGTTGTAGGCCGTCTACAGTGCTGACGGGGGGTAAACCCCAATTCTCCCCAAGTATTCCAAGACGGCGGTTGTATTTGTCTGAAGTACGTCTAGTTTCGGGTTTTCTCCAAGTGTGTCCTTCCGCTCTTTATCGCAGATGCTGCAATGTAGGAGTACGTGTTCTGTATCTTCTTCTCCGTTATTACAGTAGGGGCAGCTTGGGTCATCCACTTGTCCGTGTCTGTGTTTTGTTGCTTGTAGGAATGGCGCCCTATTCAGCCTGAGTTTGTGCAGGATAACTTCTTCTTCTCTTCTTCTGCATTCTGTCGGCATGGGCTGCCCTCCGGTTGCTCTGCGATGGAAGTGATGAGCCGGGACTTGGTGTAGGTAGTTTTCTAGGCGTCGGTCATCTCTGTCAATGTTCAGGGCCTCTCTCGGGTCTCTGCCTTCTTCGATGGTTGCTAGGCGTCTCCGGGCAGTAGATCTCCAGTCCTGGTGAGTGTTGTCTTCTCCTCTGGACTTGAGTCTCTGGCGTGGTCCTGGCTGGCTCAGTGCACGTAGGTGGTGGTCTTCTGGGAACTGGCTGCATCTGATCAGCCTTTTTGGCTGCAGAGTCTTCGATTTCTTGTCTGATGGTCGTGAGCGCTATCTCAGCCCTTGTTTGGGCGGCTGGCGAGCCTTTCGGTGCTCCTGTGATGGCCCGGGCTGCCATGTTGTTGCAGGTCTCCAGATGAGCTATGTATGAGTCTGCTGTGAACGCACCCCACACTTCCGCTGCGTATAAACCGCCGGGTCTGACATAAGCCCTGTAGAGTCTTTTGAGGTCGGTAGCACTCATCCCCCAGTCTCTGCCTGCCAGCGCCTGAAGTATCTGGTTTCGCTTGCGGAGCTTCTTGCAGGCTTTCTGGGCGTGGTTGTCGAACCTCAGCTGTGAGTCGATTTGGTCTCCCAGTATCGTCACTTCCTTCTTGTAGTCGATGTTCCTTTCTAGCAAAATTATCGGTGGCTGGGCTTTGCCAGCTGTTTCGCGAGGATCGAGCGAGACAACCACGGCTTCCGTCTTCTCGAATGAAATCATCACATGATGTTCTGCTGCCCATTCGGTGATGACGTTCAGTGCTATCTGTGTGTCAGTTGCCGCTTCGCCGGGAGTCTCTGCTGCTGCACCAATCGTCAGGTCGTCTGCAAACTGTCTTGGTGCTGCTGTAGGCGCTGCCGCTTTGATCCGTCTCGGGAGATCAGCCGTGGCTATGCAGTACAAAAGAGGGGAAATGGGGGTACCCTGAGAGAACACTTTTTTACCCTGCTTGTCCTGTTGTTCCACTTGACCAGCGATCTCCGGTCCGCAAGCCACGAGTGGAGCCATCTGAGGCACCTTCCTGACAGACCGTGTTTGGCGAGGTCTCTAAGCAAGCCCCCTCGCCACACTCTGTCAAACGCGGCTTTGAAGTCAACCGCTACGAGCAGCGTCCGCTTCTTCCTCTGCAGACCGTCCATGGCATCCTGGCAGATGCTAGCGAGAACGTCTGAGGTAGACCGGAAAGGCTGGAAGCCGGCTTGCTCAGCGGGAATGATGTTGTGTAATAACAGAGTCGGAGCGGTTTTTGCTACTTGAACAGCTACTGACTGTCAGTGTTGTATCTGTTATAGGGAGATCAAGTATACTCCATACTAATTCATTATTTTTCGTGAACAACTTGTATTCAGCTTGACGTTACGAAGCTGCTCATTAGTTCTTGAGGATATGAAGTAAATGCTCAGCTACTTAATCGTTTAAAGTCGAAATATGTATGGTATCGAAGCTCTTTTTCATTCATGATTGGAGCTGCATTAAAGAGTCCCGAAACATTTCTCGGTGTCAAGAACAAAGTGTTCTTACATTTAATCTCGTAGCTATTTCGACGAATGTTTTGAATGAGTTGACTGTATATTGATTTCAATCTAAATATGCGCAGAGTCAAATACAGGTTCTTTGTTTAGAGTTACAAACAAACAAGAAAGTTCCGAATTTTTCTTGGTATAAACATTCATTTTTACCCTTGCATATAGCAAGGGTATTGCAATCGGGTACTAGACATTTTTTCCCGTAAACAATTTTGTCCACAGTATGATCTCCAATTTATAGATCTCCATTTTCACCACATTGTACTATAAACTGCAGTAGCCGTCTCTCTGTTGGAAACTGCAACCGACATATTTTTAGGTTAGTTGTACTTTTACCAACTTGTTTTTTTTAAATTTCATTTTTAAATTTTTTCTCGGTTAAATAAGTTTCGGCCTTTATTATTTCGACTTATTGGCCTCATATTGCGGCCTTTAATAAGAAAAAAGTTTGTGTACGTGTGTGTAATTAAGGGGATGGAATTTTTATCAGTTTTTAGATCTTTTTCATTTAAATTTCATTTTTTCGTTTTTCTTCTCGGTTTAGTAAGTTTCGGTCTTTTTTATATCGGCTTATTGGCTTCATATTTTGTCGTTTAATGAGCAAGTAAAAATTGTGTGCGTGTATGTATTGAAGAAGATGGGGGTTTAACAATTTTGTATTAGTTTTTAAATCTCTTAAAAATTCTTTTTTTCTCGGGTTGATAAATTTTGGCCTTTTTTATATGGCCTCATTATAAAAAAAGGCCAAAATAATATATGGCCTTATTATATATATCGCTCATTTTGTTTGATGAGCGGGAAAAGTTGTTTGCTTTTATGTATTGACGTAAAAGGGGCAGTAAAAGTTTTTTGTTAGTTTTTAAGCTTTTCTGTTTCTTAGAAAAGAAAAGCTTAAAAAGCTTAAAAACTAACTTTTTTGTTAGTTTTTAAGCTTTTCTCAGCTACTTAATCGTTTAAAGTCGAAATATGTATGGTATGGAAGCTCTTTTTCATTCATGATTGGAGCTGCAGTAAAGAGTCCCGAAACATTTCTCGATGTCAAGAAAAAAGTGTTCTTACATTTAATCTCGTAGCTATTTCGACGAATGTTTTGAATGAGTTGACTGTATATTGATTTCAATCTAAATATGCGCAGAGTCAAATACAGGTTCTTTGTTTAGAGTTACAAACAAACAAGAAAGTTCCGAATTTTTCTTGGTATAAACATTCATTTTTACCCTTGCATATAGCAAGGGTATTGCAATCGGGTACTAGACATTTTTTCCCGTAAACAATTTTGTCCACAGTATGATCTCCAATTTATAGATCTCCATTTTCACCACATTGTACTATAAACTGCAGTAGCCGTCTCTCTGTTGGAAACTGCAACCGACATATTTTTAGGTTAGTTGTACTTTTACCAACTTGTTTTTTTTTAATTTCATTTTTAAATTTTTTCTCGGTTAAATAAGTTTCGGCCTTTATTATTTCGACTTATTGGCCTCATATTGCGGCCTTTAATAAGAAAAAAATTTGTGTACGTGTGTGTAATTAAGGGGATGGAATTTTTATCAGTTTTTAGATCTTTTTCATTTAAATTTCATTTTTTCGTTTTTCTTCTCGGTTTAGTAAGTTTCGGTCTTTTTTATATCGGCTTATTGGCTTCATATTTTGTCGTTTAATGAGCAAGTAAAAATTGTGTGCGTGTATGTATTGAAGAAGATGGGGGTTTAACAATTTTGTATTAGTTTTTAAATCTCTTAAAAATTCTTTTTTTCTCGGGTTGATAAATTTTGGCCTTTTTTATATGGCCTCATTATAAAAAAAGGCCAAAATAATATATGGCCTTATTATATATATCATGGGAAAAGTTGTGTGCTTTTATGTATTGACGTAAAAGGGGCAGTAAAAGTTTTTTGTTAGTTTTTAAGCTTTTTTTTGAATTTTTGGGCTTGAAGTGTTTCTCAGGTATTTTCGGCTTGATTACATCTTGGTAAGCTTTCTTCTGATTCTATATTTACCTTCTATGGTCTCGGTATCAGTTTTTGATACGTTTTTGTTCCGACCATTGAAAATGGGGAGGAACTTCGTCTTCGGGTGTGTTTAATTTTTTTTTCTTTTTTTTCCATGCAAAAGTCAGCTACTACAAATAATCATCGGACGGGGTTGAGTGTTTTATTATATTAAAGCCCTTTCAGTCGTGATTTGAAGGACACTTGAAAATTTTATAAATTTTACGGTGTCGAGAAAAACCGGTTTCAATTTTTTGATTTTTGGATTAATTTCGAGCTAATTAGTAAGGTAGTTAGTAATTGCAATAGCTTATTTAAGCCGTGAAAACTAAGTTTTTCTCGAGTAAAGGTAGTTTTTGGAGATTTTTTGCGCAATTTTGGGAATCATACAGAAAAAACGACAGTTGTTGAAAAACCAGTTTGTATTTTTTAAGACTGTTCGGAACATTCTCTGCTATTTGCACAGTAATCGGCGATCCTTGTTTTTAATTCGTTTTGATAGATATCGTCATTTCTGATTTTAAGATTTTTTTCGATTTAGTGGCTGTTTTGTATTGACTCGACCATTAGTTACTTCCGGTTACTGTGCAAGTAGCACAGAATGTTCAGACCAGTCAAAAAATACAAAATGTTTTCTCAATTGGAATTGGTGTCGTTTTTTCTGCATGTTGTGATAAAAAAATTTTTTGCAAAGCTCGGATTCTGCTCTGTGTGCTAGAAATATTTTGAATTTTATTGTCCCAACTACCGAAAATTGAGAGGAACTTTGTATGCGGGTGTGTTTTAGTTTTTATTTTCCACGCAAAATCAGGCACCACAAATAATTATGGGAATGGGTCGAGTGATATATTATATTAAAGCCCTTTCAGTCGTTATTCGAACGACATAAAAAAATTCCAAAAGTTGTCCCAGTATCGAGAAAAACAGGTTGTTTGGTATTTTTTGTTTTCTCAGTAATTTTTCTGCATTTTTTTCCAATTTTACTATGACTGTAGAATATTCCAAGTTTCAGTTTTTCGCTCAGATCCTTTTATCGCACCAAGCAGAAAAAAAACACAATAATTTGAAAAAAAAAGTTTATGCGACTATGGTTGGAACATTCTGTGCTACTTGTGCAGCAACCGGCTATCCTTGTAATTTTGTTGCTTATAATGATGATCGTAATCGCAATATGCTATGATTATCGCACAACAACCGGCTGCTTTTTTATAAAGAATTTTTGAGTCTCGAATTTTGTTTTCGAGGTTCCCTACCAGGCTGGCTTTTGAATTTCATGTTCGAAGCGCAGATAAGATGTTTGTTGGATTTTCAGACCTAATTGTATTTGAGTGCTCGTATTTTCCTCGAGATGACGTAGGTGCTCAACTGAAGAATGAGTTGACAACAATGCGCATTTTGTTCCCGAAAATGTTTGGTTGTGGAGAAAGCTCAATCAAGCTTAACACCAAATTCACTATCCTGTTGGCCCTGTTTTTCATCGTAGTGTTTCTGTTTCTAGTAATACCCTCAAAGCACCATAAATTGCCTAAACTGGCTATGATATATGAGCCTACTGACTTCGCGAGACCTTTCAACCGAACGTACCCATTCACTGCCCGGTTCATAGACGAAGAGGGAAATATACATATGCGACTAGCACTCATATCAGATCCAGATACAAAGTCCAAACTAGAAGAGAATACATGGGTTTCCAAGTTACAGTTTGCAGAACTCATTTTGGACTCGGAGTGGAAAACGGCGAATTTGCTGCTGAAAGAGAAATGTGACATCCGCAATCAGTACGCGTACAAGGGTCGCGGCTCTGAGTTTTCAGAACTGATAGCATTCAACGGTGATCTATACACTGTAGATGACAGAACGGGCATCATCTACAGATTCATTGCAAAATGTCCGGATCCCGAGTTGATTCCCTGGGTCATCTTATCGGACGGGCCTGGAAACATGAACAAGGGCTTCAAAGCCGAGTGGTTGGCTGTCAAAGATGATGTAATGTTTGTAGGGGGAATGGGCAAGCCTTTTAGTGACCCGATGACTGGCCAAGTTATCAACAATGACCCAATGTATGTAAAGGCAATTTCACACACTGGACAGGTTCAACATTTAGACTGGCGACAGAATTACAGAAATATGTTGAATTCATTATCACTGGCGCCCAGTGGTTACTTATTGCACGAAGCGGCTGCCTGGTCCCAACATCATAAGCAGTGGTTCTTCCTACCGAGGAGAGAGTCGAGTGAAATGTATAATGAGGTAGTCGATGAAGAGAAAGGAACGAATGTCGTTATCAGAACGTCTTCCACTTTTTCAAACGTCAAATACTCGCGACTACCGGCAGCACCCATTAAGAAACGAGGCTTCTCGTCGTTTAAATTTGTCCCACATACAAACGACTTGATTATAATTGGGATCAAAACGAAAGAGTTCAAAGGAGAAGTGGCTTCGTATGCAACAGTATTCAAAACGAATATGGATTTACTGATGGAAGAGATCGAAATTTCGCCGACCGACAAGTTTGAAGGCGTAGAATTTGTTTAGCCACCATTCTTCTTAATCTACCTCTGAAATATTCAGTAATGATGTTGCAATCGCTTCAACGACCACGCATAGTTCGGTTCAATCTGTATATAGTTTTAAATAACCCTGACCTTGATACATATTACTCTCCATCCATTTTAATAGCTCCTTCATTTTGCTTTTTTGCTACCGACGAAGCCCTATTAGTAAATTAGATGACATATATTTTTTGAAATTTGTTAGTGTTTTGATTTTAGAAAGGGTTTGTAGAATTTTTTGAAGCTTCAGTGTTTTGCTCGACTTCTAAACATGAGGATTAAAAAGTAATTATGTGTATATGTATTTCTTCGTCGGTATCTTGCAACTGTGCTAGTTGCTTGCATTATATTTATCTGATGATTTTCTACAAACTTGACAATAAAGATATTCACAATTAAAGATATCCAGATTTCATTGTGATTACTATAGAATGACTCTTGGAAGGAATTGAACTGAAAGAGGGTAAACTGGTGACAGGACTTGGTTGGATGTTTAAAGAAATAGATTGGGTAGTCACCTGTATCATTAGTTCGACCCTTTCATGCCCCAAAGGGACTTCGAGACCGCCTTCTGTGGCTATTTTACGGCGCCGATTTTCTCTGACCGAAAAATTAGTTATACTTGTGAGAGCAAGTGTCTATATATAGAAACCGAATTTTTTTACCTGTAAACATTGAATTGTCGAACTTTCATCTGCTCAAGTTTTGTCGGCTTGAGTGCCACATCAACGATTTTGCTTGTGCTTGTAGGCAACTTTAATAGCAGTTTCAAGTGCAAGTTTTATTCATCCTAGTTTCAGGGGGGACTTGAAAATACTTTTCTTAAAACCCTATTTTCCAGTTCAACTGGTGTCTGCTCAATTTTAGTCGGAATTAGTGCCACATCAGGAGCTTTTCATGTGCTGTAAGCAAAGTATCATGATAGTTGCAAGTGTTGTTCGTTGTATTTTCAAGTTATTTAAAAATCATTTTTTGGCTTAAATGGCGTCTGCTCAGAGATTGTTAGCTTTGTTTTTGCTTCGTGAGCGTTATTCCATTGCTAGTTTAAATTTCAATTTTCTTGCTAGGCATGTTTGTCTAGAATCCGGGTATGATAAGAGCAGGTCTTATTAAAATTTGTAGGATTGCATTTTTTCGAGATGCTTTAGATTTTTTGAAACTTTTCGCCAAAATTTTAGTTCTGAAAAACTATTCGCCGATTTTCAAGAAATGGGTATCAACGGAAAGACCGCTTACTAGCTTTTGAGCCTACTTAATAATCTCGTCTTTTTTCACTTTACGTCTTTGACTACAGTCTTCGAAAAAGTCTGTGAGGGGAATACGTGACCCTTATTTTTCCCGTTTTTCGAGATAGTCTGAGCATTATGTTTCAATGGAGGTAACGGGTGGTGGGACGTTCCCATTCATAAGCGTTTACGTTCAAATTTTTTCTACACAAAAAGCTATGATTCTTTGAAAGGACAATTTGTGTTTTTTCTTACCGTTTCTACGACTTTCTCAAAAAATACCCTCCCAAATCTTTGTTTTGGGTTCAATCAGGTTGTGTAAAATTACAGGTTCTGCGAAACTCTGCATCAGCGGCTACACGGAATTTTTTTTAACGTAAAGCTATGATTCTCGGAAAAGTCAAAATTGTTGATTTGCTGTTCGTTTTTTGGAAATGTTTGACATTTTTTATAACTATCCTGCCAAATCTGATATCAAGGATTTTATCGAAGCAACAAGTTGTTGAAAGCCTAGTTATGGCCTACGTTCAAAGTTTTGGCCGTTTTGGAAACTTCTTTTCTTTCCTCGAAAACTACCGTGCCAAATCTCAGATCAAAAGTTCAAGCAAGAAACCTGGTTTTGGGAATCTTCTCTCCTTAAGTGGCCACGACCTTTTTTTTGCAGAAAAGAAGTTGCGGATTTCGGAAAGTCAGTGTTTCATGTTTTGACCGTTTTTAAGAAACTTTTTGACTGTTCGAAAAAGTACCCTATCAAATCTGAGATGAAGGAATCAATCGAAAGAACCGGTTGCAAACATCTCTCCCGTAGAAGCGGCGTTTCCTTATCTTTTTGTAAGAAAAATGTCAGACCTTTTGTAATTTCTCATTTGATCCCGCACCAGTTTAATAAAAATAAAAAAGCAATTTTTTTTAGCTGTGCTACTAATTATTGTTCAGCGAGACATAAGAAAAGTTTGGTTCACCTTGTTTTTTTTAACCTTTCTCTCGTTTTTAAATGTTTGTATTGTATTGCAAGTGTTGCGAAGATCCGCTTCGCCTCTGAGTACTATAGCTACTATTGCGAGAGCAGTTGTCTTGTACTCGGGAACTAGACATTTTTTCTCGTAAACAACTTTTCTTTTTTTTATAGAACCTTAACATTTTCCAGGCTCGTTCCCTCTTAGCCTGGAGTTAATGTGGTTACCTATGCGCCTTAAGGCATGGGCTTGTTTTTTAGTATGCATGAAATGGACAGATTTTTTTCCCGGGAAAAATTGAATTATCGGACTTTGTTTGTCTGCTTATGTTTCGTCGGCCTATGTTCAACAATTTCTTTTGCTGTCACTGATTTTGTTTCGAAGATGCAACTGTTTTTGGTTAACTGTGAACTATTCTGTAAAATTTGTGAAATGTTTTGTATATTTTCCTTGGTGTTTCTATGTTATTTTTTTTTTCTTCGGCTTGGTTTGTTTATTTTGTGTCGCATCGAAGGCAGAAAATGATTTTTTTTTAAATTTTGGTGGGTTGTGTTGCAAGACTTTTTGCAAATTTTAATTGCTGAAAAATTTGTTTGACCTCAATTTCTGGTGTTTTTTTTTGTTTTCGAATCAATGGGTGCCTACCCATTTGTGATCGGCTTAGTGGCCGCTCGGTAAAAAAGGCTTATTTAATACTCTTGTTTTTCGGCTGTTTTTCTGACAATATTTTCTCCCAAAGATTTTTTTCAATTTGTTATTTTCGACCCATTTCTAAAAACAGCCGTCCAGTTTCTTGTGATGTCACTAACTTTTGTCGAAGATGCTACTGTGTTTGATTTACTCCTAAAATTTGTAAAATTATTAGCTTCAATGTTGTGTATTTTCCTTGGTTTTGCTTTGTGTTCTTTTTCTTCGGCCTGAATGGTTTCGGTTTATGTTAAAGCGGCTTAGTTACCTTATTTTGTGTCGTCTCAAAGACAGAAAATGATCAGTTTTTTTTTTTGAAAAATTTGGATAGTTTATGTTGCAAGACTTTCAACAAAACTTAATTGCTTCAAAATTTTTTGACAACTAGTTCATAAGGCATTTTTTTTGTTTTCGATTCACTGGGTGTCTACCCACGTGTTACCGGCTTATCGCCCGCTCGGTAAAGACAAAAGTTTTTTTTAATACTCTTGATTGTTTTTCGGCTGTTTTTCTGAAATTATTTCATTTTCTCCCAAAAATTTTTCTATGGATTTTTTTTTATCTTTTCATCCCATTTTCTATTTGCTGGCTGACAATGCTGCGGTTGCATTGTATCGCAAGTTTTGCGAAGCCCCGCTTTGCTGCTGCTTAATAAATTGTTTTCAGGGAAAAAAATATACGGAAATTCACCATAAATGAAGCGTTAGTAATATTAGTACTGCCTGGGACATCCTTGTTGGATCTACAGATCCATTTTCAGGTGTCTCCGAATCTTAATATCAGCAATGGTTTTTCTGCAGACTAATTTGACGGAGAAAGTAGATTTTTTCTACGAAATTTCTCAACTTAAATCTATCAACTTTTATCAAATTTCTTCTATCAACTTAAGTTTGTTGATATTTCATTCCAAATATAAAACTGTGCTTTTCACTGACATATTTGCGCGAAGTGGTTACCAATTTAAAAGAATCGATATAAGAAAACTCGGCATTTGGATTTCTTTTTTCTATGCTCAAATTCATTTTTTGTTCTAATCTTCTATTTATTATTCTTTAAATCATTGGAAAAATCAGGCAATATTGTTTCAACGAAGCAATATATTCAAATTTTGATGAACTTGTTTTTTGGTGTCCAATAAGAGCTCAAAAATGAGTTAGTCATAAATCGTTTTATCTGCTTGGAAACAAATTTGACACGAATTTAACGGCCGAAGAATCGCCAGTTTGACAACTGCGTGCATCCATTTTGTTTGACTTATTCTCTTTTGTTTGACCGGCAATTTTTTTGTTTGAAGCTCAGATCAAACATGTATTTTTACTGCACAGGAAATTTATGATAGATGCGGAATAATTTTTAACAAATCTTTGAAAATTTTGTTGACCTTTTATAGGTTATCTATTTCGTATGTATCGAGAGCAAGCCGATTCGGTCTGCGAAATAACTTGAAAATATTCAAAATTTTATAGCTGGAATAGCTTGCTTTAAAAATTTGAAGTGAATTAATTCAGTCTATGAAATAGCTTGAAATATTTCAAAGTCTCAGCTTGAGTAGCTTGCCTAAAAAGCTTAAATTTTTCATCAACCGATTCAGACTATGAAATAATCAGTGAAATATTCAGCGAACCGATTCAGTGTATGAAATAATTTTTCAACGTTTCATAGCTGGATTAGCTTGCTCAGAAAAAATCACTTTTCGCGAAACGGTTCGGTTTAAGAAATAACTTGAAATAAATTGAAGTGTCATAGCTTCAATTGCTTGCCTAAAAAACTTATAATTTTCGTCAACCGATTCAGTCTATCAATTAAGTTGAAATATTCTAAAGGTTGAATGTATTTGTTTAAGAAACCATATCTTCTCGCAAACCGATTCAGTGTATGAAATAATTTTATAGCTGGGCAGCTTGCTTGTAAAAACTTCAACTTTTTATGGACCGCTTCGTATAGTTTTAATAGCTTGTTCAGAAAATTTTGAGTTTTTCGGGATCCGCTTTGGTCTATGAAAAAACTGATTTTTTTAAGCTTAAATAGCGTGCTTAAAAAACTCTTTTATTTTTGCAGACTGATTCGCTGTATGAAGTTAGTTGAAAAATTTTTCGCTTTATAGCTTACACCAGTTCTTTCTATGAAATAACTAGAAATACTTCAAAAGGTTATCGCTTAAATCACTCCAAAAAACTAGATTTTTCTTTATGAATTAACTTGAACTAATGTCTTGGAAATTGAAATATTTCTTAGTTTGATAGCTTGAATAGTTTGCTGAGAAAAACCTAAATTTTCCGCTGACCGATTTAATCTGAAAAAGTTTTTAAAGTTTCAAGTTTCTTGAATAGTTTCAGTAGAAAAGCTTTTTGGCATCCGAATTGCTTCATGAAATAACTTTAATCATATTAAAATTTCATATTTCTTAGCTTCAATAGC